TGCACAATTTCTCAACTCAAATTAAAACACGTGCTACACCGGTTTCCACCATTTCTGAGGGTTCAGGACTGTATTATCCCTAACACAGGCTATTATGTAGCCCAGCTGGGAAAACAGCACTCTACCACGATATTATTGTAGACTTCTAATTGTAACACAAACTCATCATAATAAATGTAAAATTGTGTAAACCTACAATCTCATTTATACAATAAAAAGTTATTATAGTTATTATTATTATTATTATCACGAGAATTGGCCTTCAGAGTGCATGTTAGTGGAATTGCAGTACCAAGGGTAAAAGCCAGGATTTGTTAGCAGAAATAGATAAAAAATTAATTATAAAATAATATTAAGAAAAATATGTACTTAGCCTATGAATCAAAATACATCATTATCATCATGATTTCTATTTTGCACCTTTCGATTATTTCGTATTGCGGTATTTTTTTAAATTCGTAACTTTCTGTTACTGATTGCGGGATCCAGAAAAGGGGCAAGCGCCCCGGTTTGCTCCATCGTGTAAATGCTCTTAGTTTTTTTTTCATGCTCACACGGTTATTTGCACGACACTTATGCCTAAAAACCAGTTTAAATATTTTTGTCCGATTTTAATAATATTTTATTATACTATATTATAAGGTTTTTCTTCCGGAAAAACCTTATAAAATTTTCAAATTCCACGCGAACGAGGTCGCGGGCTCCACTAAGTTTGAAATAAAAGTAACAAATAGATAAATATTATTGGTAGGTAAATTGTTTATGCTCTACAGTAAATCTCGTAACTGTTGTCACATCTACATAAACATTTCTAATTGACATTTCGCTATAAATATAACATCGAAATGTCGAGAGTCGACATTAGCCGGTGCCAATGTGTTTGCCAATGCCGGCTGGCCAAGTACCAAGTGCGGCTTCATCTTATAAATATACTTTAATAGAAATCCCAACTGGTTTGTGAATTTTATAGTCCCGTATTTGTGTGCAAAAATGAGTACCGTGCCTAATAGACCCAATCTAAAGTTAGCAAGACTGTGGTATAAATATAAGGACGAGCCGAAAAAGGAAAACAATGAAGACGTTGAAGAGCCAACGAAAGCCGTAACAGAGATGGATTGTGAATCGTATCCTCCATATAACTTCTCATGGTTTGCTGAAAATAAGGTGGCAGCTATGGGTTTTCCGCAATCAGTCGCAAATCTCAACTATCTAGTTGACGTTGGTGTGAACCATCTTATAACCCTTTCGCCAGAGAGGATCCCGCCAATAATGGAGTGTAAAAAAAAGTTAAAATGGTCAGAGATCAGGATAAAGGAGTTCGGTGTACCGACAATGAAACAGATCTTAAAATTTATTGAGATTTGTGAAAGAGCAGAGATAAGGGGAGAGGTAAATTTTTGCATTGTTATTTGAATAAGCTAAACACATATATAGCCGGTATATCTGTTATTTGCCGTTTCTACCGTAATGGATCTTGAGAACAATTTAAGTCACCGTATTTAATTAAATTCCTCCTTGAGTGGTTCAAGGTTAATAAGTAAATATTGTACGTCTCATTCATTATGATTTCGTAATAGGTACCTATTGCCTAGTAGGTATATATCCTAGATACAAGCAAGTTGTTATCGACTTTTCGTACCATAAGAGGTCAACTGGACACACGTAGTTTTATATAGCCGTTTTCTCATAACTCGTAACATTGTTTAAAAATAATATCTTGCAGCAAAATGCAGAGTTATGTGTACTGGTATTAAGACTGATACTAGGTGGCGCCATTGTTACAGATCCCGAAAAGTAAAAAGAATATACTAAGGTACTAGACGATTAAAAAGTATATGAAATTCACTTGACGTTTGAAAGTGTACCGTAATAAGGCGTACTCAATAAATATTGAGTTAGTTTGATAAATTTAAACACAGGTAATACAAATACCTACATATTATTAACATAAGTAGGTACACCGGTACACGTTTCTTATTTCGATCCGTATGACGCGTAAATTTCGAAACGTCGGAAGTTACGATAATAATAAAAGCTAGACTTAAACGTCTAATATTGCGAGACTTGTCAATTAATAAAATGTTCTTTTTAGGTGGTAGGTGTTCATTGCAGACATGGTCGAGGGCGCACGGGCACGATGCTAGCCTGCTACTTAGTACATTTCAAGAATATGGCGCCTGAACGAGCTGTGCTCACAGTCAGAGTGCAAAGACCTGGTAAAATGTTATATGTGTTAAGTAAACTATGTAAATCGCAAGTCACAAAAACATGTGCCAATGTCTAAAACTAGGCTACACCGCCAGCTAGCGAGCGAGCCGGGCGAGCATCATTTCACCTCTTTTGCCACCCCGAACTACAGAGATAAACTACATCATCAAAACAAACGATACGAAAAAAATATCCGACGATGCAAGCGATGTTATTCGTTCAATTCGTTAGCGTAGCTTAAGTCTGTACTTCGTAGTGTCAATCAAAGTATGAAAAAATGCATAATGATGCTCGCTAACTGGCGAAAAGACAAAGACGTCCGCTATGCAACTGAACTGAACGGAACGCTCCCCTCGCTCACCCGCCCTTACTTAGTTTTCGGGGTGAACCCACATAGTTTAGCTTCGCTTAATTTATATAGTTTAAATTTGATTTATTTAAAGAAGTTGAATTTATAATGGCAAGAAAAAATAACCGCTCATGTAGGTATGCGAATAAATCTACGATAAAGTACTTGTAGATGTAATCAGTATTCCAGAACGAATTAAAAATCTTTTAGATATTTTGTGTTTATCTACTTTGACATACTATTATTACTATATGCATGTAACGTGGGTATTCATTTTCGTTATTAAATTAGGGACATAGATCACAAGTCGAACTAATTACTGCGAATATTAAAATGCCTGCCCGTGTTTCACTCACCACTCACATACTTGGCTTTTAGGTTCCTGCGAAACTTATGAGCAAGAAAAAGCTGTATGTCATTACCACGACTGCTTGCGGGGCACTGTAGAGAAACCAGACTACCGTTTAGTAGAAGATAAAATGTACTTTGACTTCTCCATGAAATACATGTATGATGACGACACAATACGTATCGAAAAAGATGAAACAGCTGAACAGAAGGAAGAAGACGACTTAAAAATAGTGAAAATTGGTGACAGCAGCGTTCAGAAACAAGTTAAACTAAAAGTACCGAAGAAAAAATCAAACGCTATGGTCATAAATCACAAGATTTATTTTTAATTTATTTAGGTTTTACATTTTGCATTATTTTGTATAAAATTAAAAACAAATTAATACACTTCGTAATACAATATTGATTTATGAACTTGAGCATTCTTTCAGTTTTTAAATGTTATTTTATTAAATTTAAAAGAAAATCTACTTTTTCACTACTATTTAAGAACATCTTTGTAACATTAGATACACAATTTTTTAAATTTCCATTTTACAACGTTTTATTTACAAAAACACAATAATTAATAACAAGAGAAAAAGAAACTTTATTAAGCTGAACAGATTGCTTGTGACGAACAAAAATAATGAATTTTATAGTTTAATAAAACAATACAGTATACAGAGCAACAAAATTCCTATTACGCATTTACATTTGGAACCCATATGAGACAATACACGTTTGCCTCAGGTTTCTGTCTAGACATGTATGTATTACCCCTTTCTTTATTCCACTTACTGGGATAACTTGGGATGGCCTTGGGTATAACTCCCCAGTTCAGTACGTCAACCTGGCCATGGCGCAGTTTTGTACAGACCACTCACTGCGCTAAATTATCTCCTGGAGTCAGATTTGGGTCCATTGATCTGTTTGCGTGCGTTGTGGGTTCAATGAGTTAGTTAGTATTATTATCATAGCTGTTAATACTAAACTGAATGTGTAACTACTGTAAATAAATAAATCAATTGAACAGTTAAACTCTTACTGACAATTTGCTCTTTTACATTATACAGAATATTAACCTTAAGAACCTTAAGATGTGCCATTTGGTGTTGAGCAACTTTCATTCCTGAGTATAGGCAAATCAATTCCTTTTTAAAAACAATCTATGACTTATTTTATTTTTTTAAATTAGGGTCCTTCACTTTTTTAAATTTGAAATTCGTCGTAATGTAATAATTACAACGATTTATCCAGTTGTTGCTACATTTTCAAATGATATTAAGTTAATTTATTTCAAACAAATGAATGTAGATAAAATTTAATGGTAGGTACTGGAACTTAAGGCCACATATCTTTTAAAGATTAAGCCATTTCTTTATTCCTAGAGGTTAGATATCAATAATTATTTTGCTAGACATACCTGCCACTAGCGGGCGTCAATAATCCAGTAGGAGTACGAGGTCTGGAACCACCATTTGGTGTAGCAACACCGAGTTTATTGGCAGTGGCAGCTGCGCGAGCTAATGATGCTCGCGTATTTGTCACTTTACGCATCGGAATTCGAGATGGTGTAGAAAAGTCGTCTAAAATGAAATGTGATTTATTAATTTAACAAATGTCTACAGAAAAAAAAACAACGAAACAAAGAATCAAACAATATATTTACCTGTACTATCTAGAGAGAGATTAGATCCAAGTCTTGAGGGTGGTTTTGATCCGGTTCTTGATCCCGGCCGTGATCCTGGACGAGATCCTCCAGGAGTTAAGGTCTATCTATGGCAAATCAATTATAAATGTAGACTTGTTCACATCAGATTAATTTAAAACCCCCGGATATGTTTTTGTAATGTTCCTTACCTTGGCGCACTAGGCTTTCTGTATCTAGTTTCAAGTCCGCTTGCTGCTTCGTTGACAATTTGCTCTTTTACATTATACAGAATATTAACCTTAAGAACCTTAAGATGTGCCATTTGGTGTTGAGCAACTTTCATTCCTGAGTATAGGCAAATCAATTCCTTTTTAAAAACAATCTATGACTTATTTTATTTTTTTAAATTAGGGTCCTTCACTTTTTTAAATTTGAAATTCGTCGTAATGTAATCATTACAACGATTTATCCAGTTGTTGCTACATTTTCAAATGATATTAAGTTAATTTCTTTCAAACAAATGAATGTAGATAAAATTTAATGGTAGGTACTGGAACTTAAGGCCACATATCTTTTAAAGATTAAGCCATTTCTTTATTCCTAGAGGTTAGATATCAATAATTATTTTGCTAGACATACCTGCCACTAGCGGGCGTCAATAATCCAGTAGGAGTACGAGGTCTGGAACTACCATTTGGTGTAGCAACACCGAGTTTATTGGCAGTGGCAGCTGCGCGAGCTAATGATGCTCGCGTATTTGTCACTTTACGCATCGGAATTCGAGATGGTGTAGAAAAGTCGTCTAAAATGAAATGTGATTTATTAATTTAACAAATGTCTACAGAAAAAAAAACAACGAAACAAAGAATCAAACAATATATTTACCTGTACTATCTAGAGAGAGATTAGATCCATGTCTTGAGGGTGGTTTTGATCCGGTTCTTGATCCCGGCCGTGATCCTGGACGAGATCCTCCAGAGACGAGAGATTCGTTGTCACTCAAGGAGTCAGGTGTACCTGCGCTCAGTGATGAGCGGGATGCTCTTCCCGCTGCGCCTCCCGCAGACATTGGGACGGAACGTGCAGTTCGTTCTCTTACCTACATCATACAATGATATCGTTACGTTTTGTACATTACAAAATGCATGCAAAGGTTGATCAAATAAAAAAAAACGTGTTTATGTTCATGAAAGAAGTGATTTGAATGAAATGATAAAAGCAATTTCTTATAATATATCATCAATAGACATTACTATACTATAATCATGCCAATCTAGAGGACGTGACGATTTTAACTGCTGTACACGAACCTAAAATGGAACTTGTGCAATACACAAATAAACAAAAGAAACCTTTTATGATTACAGAGCATGAATCAATCGCAACACTTTCACATTGCCTAAATAGCATTACCCAATGATATCCTGGAGACGGCTGATAGCCGTGGTGGTGACTATAGTGGTGCGCGCCCGGTGTTGTGGAACCTTGAGATCTTGAGTGGCCATATATGAAGGCCTGCTTAGTGCCATGTGTTGAACCGACGTGCAGGGGATACGAACAAGGTAGCTCTTCTCGTTGCCGCAGAGCCTCAAATATAGGCCTCAGCTGCTCCATAAACTCTTCAGCTAAACGTACCAATACAAAAACCGGGAGGCTTATAAATAAAGAAGGAATAGTACAAAACAAAACAATAATCGTTTTTGCCTTCATAGTGCCAATCGTGTTTTGCCGGAACGCGAATATTTGGGTCGAATTTTCACGCAGTTACGATTAGTCCACACGTTTAGTTGCACGCGAGTGAATTTTGCCGATGAGGGTATGATTGGGAACTAGCAGCGGGAAGGGTGAAACGAAATACGTTACCATAACATCCATAGGCGCAGACGTGCCACCTCTCCAATGCAGTGGATCCAAAGAATTACAATAACAAACAACACCAAAACACTACACGGACCTGTGCGTCAATGCATAGCTTGAACACTAATGCAATACGACCAAACTCTACGAGCTTAACACATGCGCCAAACACGACAATGAACCTTGCATATGGATTAAGAACAATCCATGTGCAAAGTGCAAATAAAATGAAAGCGAAAAAAATGTTTCCCAAACCGATATCCAAAAACTACTGTGCGCTTTTTTACTTGTGCGAAATTATGACTAAGTTCTATCCTGTCAGAGAGAAGACTTTAATAAGTACAGCAATTTCAGTACTTACCTTGGTAATGGGTCCAGTGGACGGTGGTGTGTTGGTGTTAGAACGGGGCGTACGCGGTCTGAACGCTGCCATGCTCTGTGACACTCCATCAGCCAGAATGAATTGCTCTCGTAGTTCGATGTTCGTGCGTCCCTTGGCTGCATGCAGGCGGCGTCCCGTGCGTGGGATAAAAACAGGTTGGGAAAGGATGGGGGCCAAAAAAAACCGTTCGGTAACAAGGTAGACGGAAAAATAACACCAAAAAGTGTTTAAAAACGGGACAGCGTGCATAGGTAGTGAGGAAAAGAAAAAAAAAACAACAAACAAATCAGAACATGTCAAACAAAACAAACAACAATTAATAAAAAAGGAGGATTTTGTATTCATGTGCAGTTAGGAAAAGGAATAATAAAATATAATTAGTTTATTCTCTCACCAAGTGTTACACAGTTACGTAAGTCAAGAGCAAGATATCATATACTATTGAAATCGGTTATGATATTTCGTTTCAATAAGAATTTCAGCTAATTATTAATTATTCATTAATTCTCAGATATTTTTACTGCTTTTATTTTTAGATAGAGAAGAAAAAGAATAACATTACAAATTAAACATTACGTTATTAATTAACAACTTTAACGCGAAATATGTACAACGGAGAGTGAAATGACTGTCTTTAAATAAATAATCTTGCGCTTGAGTTACACACTATTAGTATCTACTAAATAAAATAAACTTTAAAATAATGTATGCAAATCAGGAAGCTCTATACCATATTCATGCTATTACGATATAAAGCAAAGTTTTTTTTTAACTCTTACCACTATATAACGAATTTAGTAAATATACTTTATAAATAATAAAAACTACAGTCATTGGCAATCCACACATTTGATAAATTTTATATAACAATAAAAGCACCAAACGTGTAAAATGAATTTGTAGGGCAAAATAAAATCTATAAACGGTCTGCGATGGAACCATACATTTCCGTTGTGTACGAAAAAGCTAAAAGTGATAACTTTAGAACTATTCATCATTATGATCAGGTTCCACGACAGTTCGTATTTCTTACCGAGCGGGCAACAAGCTTCATGCTGCTCCGGCTTGCTCGGATCAGGCAGTGGTAGCACTAATGATACTACTTATGTAATGGGATATCGTAGGGGTATAAACAAAATAAAAATAATAAAAATAAACAAATTTTTATAAAGGACCACGGGAGGTGGATTGGGCAAAGCGAATACTAATTAGAGGTGGATTGGGCAAAGCGATACGAATTAGTAAATTAGTAGCAACATCGTAACTTTATGTGGACAAATTCAATGCTTAGCTCATACTCTTTTTTAATACTAGCTATTTTTAGAAATGTATGCTCCATAAATGAAAGTGAGTAAAGTAATGTGTTTATGTGAACATTCAAGTCAAAACGCTTTTATAATTATTTATCAATACACGCCGAAGAGTAATGTATTACATTACGTTTAATATAATTTAGTTATTTTAATTCCCTAACGTTACGTAACGTTTTCAACGTATAGAAATAAATCGTTATTAAAGGTTATTGTGTTTACGCTGGCAACATCGACTACTGCGCATGTCAAATACGTGATGGAGGCGGGAATTTTTTTTTCCATTGTAATTTAGTATATATAGTTGAGTATATATAATTAAAATCTAGCATAGAGAGGTAAAAATGGATATCGATGGGGGCGGGGGTGATAATCCCCCGGCCCAGAGTAATAAAAGGCCTAGGAAAAGGGCCACCGAGAAAGACGGTGAAAAAGACGACAGCGGTGAGGACAATATATTCTTACCGTATTACAAACCAGACTATAAACGGTTATATCCGGAAAATTCGAATTCAACTGAGTTTAAAGTGTTCGTTGAATCAACTTCAAACGAGAGACTGGGCAACAAAAGTCCGATATATCTGAACCATATTTTTTCAAGTGGAATCAAAGGTGTAGTGGCAATTCGGCGAATAAATGCGAATAAGATTGTGGTGATATTTAAACAATTCAATACGGCCAATAACTTTATTAATAATAACACATTCTTGGAGATAAATTCCATGCGAGCATTCATTCCAGCTGCTCATATTGAAAAAACCGGTATCATACGATTTGTTCCAACGAATATTTCAAACAAGGACTTGTACTCAAAATTATCGTCGATCTACGAAATAATTTCAATCAGACGGTTTTTAAAAAAAGTAGGACAGGAATGTGTACCTTTACAAACTGTAAGCATTACATTTCTATCAAATACACTACCTGATAATGTTCAATATGACCTGTTCTCATACAGAGTTTTTGATTATATTCCTCCTCTGCAGCAGTGTTATAGGTGTTTTAAATTCAATAACTCAGCCAAGATCTGCAGTGGCAAACAGCGCTGCAGCTGTTGTGCTGGTGATCATCATTATAGTGTGAGAAGCCAAATGAGCTCTGCTGTGTTAACTGCAGTGGGCCTCATATGGCCATCTCAAGGGCCTGTCCCATAAAAATGAAAAAAAAATATAGAGAAGAAAAGCAAAATCACTTACTCCTCTGTTGTAAATACTCAAAATGTATCAGATTTTCCTGAACTAAAATCTCCCCAACCAGATGTACAAAAAGGAAACTCTAGTGTAAATAAATCTTTAAATTTAAATAAGTCTAACACCCCAGCGAAAGCCGCTTCTTTTGATGTTAAAGCACAGTTACTTGTAAATAATGACTTAACCATGGCAATTGTTCGTACATTAATTGAATTGGCTAATAAGGTTGATGACTCTCCCATATCTACAACAACAATCAAAGATATGCTTTTTAAAAATTTATCATAAATGGATCACAGATCTTCTCGTATTTCACAGTTAAGAATCGCTCTTCACAACATTCAAAGTGTTAAAAACAAAATACCTTTACTTATTAAATTCTTGATAGAAAATAATATTGATATTTGTTCATTGAATGAAACATGGCTTAAAAACAATCAACACTTTAATATCCCTGGTTATATATTTTACAAAAATGCAAAGAATCAACATGGCGGTGTAGCTATTCTGATAAAACCTATTTTTAAATATACTTTAATACAAACAGATTTTTATGAAGATGTTTAAACAATTGCCTTATTGCTTTCCATCGATACTGGTACCATGTCTATTTTGTGTGTTTATTGTCCTCCTACTGGCAGTCAGCCAATGATTAAATTAAAGAAAATAATAAATGGTCTACCTAAACCAATATTCGTAGCAGGAGATTTTAATGCTCATCACATAGCTTTTGGCTGCGTTTCTACTAAGGCACGAGGCCTTCAATTGTTCGATGTTATAGAAGAGTGTGATTTATGTATATTAAATGATGGCTCATTTACAAGATTAATTATCCTAATGGTAGCCCTTCTGCTATAGATGTAACTTTAACCAGTCCTTGTATTACTCCTCTTTGTGAGTGGTCAGTACATGATAATAATATGGGCAGTTATCATTTTCCATCTATAACCAATATTAGTCTTTCAGTTGACAGATATCAAGTAAACTCACCTATCGATAAATTTTTATATAGTAAAGCAGATTGGGAAAAATACAATCAAATGTCTCTTCTTCTTCTTAGCGTGTCGATGACAATTCGAATTGAGTCGGCCCAAAATTTGGCGACGAGTTCGGCACTTTCAGTAGCCTCCATCAGTTCCTGTGATGTGCAAGTAACAGGACAGGCTGGACACTGAGGAAGCGGGAGGTATGCGGGCTGGATGGTTGGTCATTGGTATAGATATTAAATAAAAGCGGTGCCAAGACACTACCTTGAGGTAGGCCGTTTTTCTGTTCTCTCCAACGACTTTTTTCCGAGAGAAGGTGGACTTGAAATCGGCGGTTGTGGAGAAGTTCTCGGAGTATGCGGATGAAATTTTGATCGTTGACCAAGGTTTCTACCTTCCACAACAGCCTCTTGAGGTTGACTGTATCGTAGGCAGCTGATAGGTCCACGAATACAGCACCAGTGACCATTCCTCTCTCGAAGCCATCTTCAATGTGTTGTACCACTTTAAGAGACTGGTTACTGCAAGACTTCACGGGTCTGAAACCAGCTTGCTCGGGAATCAGTTTTGGATCAATGACGCCCGTAAGACGGCTCAGCAGCAGTCTCTCGAATAGTTTATATGTGTGACATAGTAGAGAGATAGGGCGAAGGTTTTTAGGATCGTCTGCTGCCTTACCTGGCTTAGGGATTGCAATGATCTTAGATTTTCTCCAGAGACGGGGTGTTGAAGCTGATTCCAGGCAATTGTTGTAAAGTTGCAGCAACCACGACACAGCAACTGGGCCAAGCTGTTTTAATTGCTCGACTGAGATGTCGTCGACTCCAGAGGCTTTACCAGACTTAAGGCAACTTATCGCTGTAACGATATCAGTAACGTTGAATGATTTACTGATATCGTCACCAACGCCATCAGTTTTTTGTGATTTTGGGATCCTACTGGAACGGCGTGTTGGTCTGCCATTAACAAGTAGTTGATGTGCTATCTGGTTTGCGGTGACTTGGCTTGGCGGTGCGGGTTTAGGGGACTCACCGGTCAGCTTTCGAATCGTACTCCAAGCCTTTTTACTGTTGTGAGTCATGTCGATGCTGGTAACAGTATTCGTCCACCTCTCTCGTCTGTTTTCGCCTAGTTTAGATAGCAACAATTCTCCAGCAAGTGTGGTTGCCTCAGAAAAAGGATCGGATCGGAACAGTGATTCGTATCGCGTCAGTAATCCACCGGAATCTGTTGACAGCCCCGGGATGTAGGAAGTCCTGCAGCCCCTTGGGATGTGTCTTCGGGAATAAGTTGACACAATCTCGACAAACTGGTCGTAGTTTTGCGGGGTTGGTGGGACATTGAACAGGGCGTCATCGATCGACTGCGTAAACGACCCAATCAGCCTTGGCATAGTTGAATCGGCGCTTGAAGGGGACATTTATAGATCGGACCACGGATTCGATGCAGCACATAATTGGTCTATGTTGAGTGCGAGGAATAGGTGAACACACTCTTTTAGTGCACTGTGAGCTGATAGAAGAGCTAGCGAAGATTAAATCAGGATTGTACCCGCGTTTCCAGCG